TGTTTAGAGTTAGGTCGTTGATTCAGATGGTTAGGTTAATAGCTTGTTTAGAGAACCTTTTCATGATATGCTAATTTTTTGGGACAGGCATTTTGAGTTTTCATGAGCTGTATGCCATAATCATCAGCATTAAAACAGTTAAAGACCTGAAATATTTCAGTTGGTGTGCAATGAATCTGAATTATATAAAAGTTTCATTTTTATCATTACATTATGGAAAATAATTACCTTTATCACAGTATGCTATTTTTTTGAGAAGGACCTGTATGTGCGGATCGGTGGATGGATGGATGGATGGATGGATGGATGGATGGATGGATGGATGGATGGATGGATGGATGGATGGATGGATGGATGGATGGATGGATGGATGGATGGACGGATGGATGGATGGGTGAGTGGGTAGATGGATGGGTGGATTAGTGGGTAGATGGATGGATGGGTGGATGGATGGGTGTGTAGTATGACATATGCAGGATATATTCATACATTTCACGAGTTCTTCATTTTTCTGACTGTGTAAATGTCGTGCATTGAATTTAACAGAAATGTAACGAGAGACGTTATTTATCTTTGACCCATCAAAATGAATGCGGTCATTTATTTGCAGAATCAAAGTTTAACATCAAACATTTACATTAATTTGGCAAAATATGAAAACAATAACATGGCTAGTTTCACAGGAAGTTGGAACAATACGGCGATTGTCCTCACTTTCAGCAGAACAGCAGACATCAATCACACGGCGGTGATTGAGAACTTTGCTTCAGACATTTCTAAAATATCTGTAATGATTTTAGGAGAAAGGAGAGTTTAAGATGGAAAAATGGAGATTTATCTTACAGAGAGATGTGTGAGGGAATTAATCTGTTTGACCAGAAACGTGCACGCTCCTTCAGTTCTCAGCTTGGTCACGGTACGCTTGGTCGAAGTAGAACTTTTACCTGGTTGATGATAGGTCAGGTCGGCGTGAAGTCCTTCCTTTGACTCTTTCAGCGTCTCCGTTGAGAACAGCTAAAATACTTCGAGAGTCGTGCGAGGTTATCCAAACAGAAGTTATAATTCCCAAAATCGTCTCTGGATTCTGGATTCCAATAGAAGCATCCTGGACGCCTGCGTTAGCATCCAAGAACTCTGAACTCTTTAACTCTCTCTTCAGAGAGTTAAAGTCTGGAACTCTTCTCCAGGAAAAACTTTCAAGCTCTGAAAACTCCCATGTTGAACTCACTCTCGAGAGAACTGGGAAGTTGCCACATTTAAATGGGTCGACTTCCGGGTCATTTGAGAGCTTTTTGATTGGTCGATGGACCAGAACAGAGGTGTGGTTTGTGATGTAAGGTGTTATGAAAATTCAAGGATAGAGATTAAGTTTGTTTAAAACAGACAGAAAGATTATTGGAGAAAACCAGACTTCGTGGAGTCTCTACTCCTATTATCTGCTGTAAAAGTTAAACATGACATTTCTTCTCGGTAAACTTTTTTAGTTGACCGAAACTCAAACTCTAACACACTTACAAATTTGCTCATTGAAGACAGAAAAATCAAGAAATGCCTATTACCCTGATTTCTTCTTTGAATGAGGAATAAAAATCATTACTTACTGTTTATGTAAATAAAAATGAGTAGTTCTCTTCAACCTGTAAACATTGTTTGAACTAACACAATTTGATTATCAAAACATTTGTAAAATAGTAATGATCATAGAGAATTGTCTTTTCTACTTGATTAATTCAAGAAAGAAAGTCTCAGGATGGGTCAAACTGTATTTCTGGATGCAGATCAATGAAATAACAGTTTCTGTCCATCTGGTCAGATTTGACATCAGGTTAGGTTCACTACAGGTGGATGGATGGATGGGTGTATTGATGGATGGATGATGGATGGATGGTTGAATGGGTAGATTGATAGATGTGTGGATCGGTGGATGAATGGATGGATGGATGTGTGGATCGGTGGATGAATAGATGGCTGTGTAGATCAGTGGGTGCTTGGGTGGATGGATGGATGGATGGATGGATGGATGGATGGATGGATGGAATCGTGGGTGGGTGGATGTGTGTATTGGTGGATGGATGGATGGTTGTGTGGATCGGTGAACGGATGGATGGATGGATGGATGGATGGATGGATGGATGGATGGATGATGTGTGAATCGGTGGATGAATAGATGGCTGTGTAGATCAGTGGGTGGATGGGTGGGTGGGTGTATGGATGGACAGATGTATGGGTGGGTGGGTGGATGGATGATGGATGGATGTGTTGATCGATGGGTGGGTTGGATGGATGGATGGATGTGTGTATTGGTGACTTTTTGTTGTCAAAATACTGACTGATAAAGTCTGCTACTGTTTTCATAACACAAACAGTTGGAACGTATTTATGAAATGTTAGGATAGGTTAATTTAAAGGAAACGATAAGGGGGCAGCTGTGGCTGAGTGGTTAGAGCAGTTGTCCTCCAATGAGAGATTGGAGGGTTCGATTCCACCAGCAGTCACATGCTGAAGTGTGCCTGTAGCCTCCACCCCTGCCTAATTATGAACCGTCCATCACCTGACTTTACATTGTTAGATTTGTTTACCTGGATTATTGAGCATGCATCAGGACACTGACTGCTCTGTGTTTCTTGGTTTAGGAAAACCTGCTCCGCTGGAGATCAAACCCCTACCAGAATGGGAGGAGCCCTGCGCACCTGTCCGCTCACCAGTCACACGGTCATTCACTCGAGAGTACGTATCTAAACATTCTGCTTCATTTTTCATAGTTCAGTTCAGTTCAGTAATACTTTATTAATCCCAAAGGGAAATTAAATGTAGCTAACATCTGAGGACATGTTGTCACTGCTCTGCTTTCCTTAGTTGTTTAAAGTGGGTTTACGACCTCATTATGGCCTCATATAATGAAAAATACAGTAGTCCCTCGTGTATTGTGGGGGTTTCGTCCCCCCCCCCCCCACCCGCGAAATAAGAGAAAATCTGTGAAGGAGAAACTCTATTTATTTTTTTATATATATATATATATATATATATATATATATATATATATATATTAAGGTTTTATAAACCCTTCCCACACTCTTGCAATGTTCTAAACTCTTCAACCTATGTAATTTTAACAACATATGTATATGTACTATACAGTACTGCAAAATTTTATATGAGGAACTCGTCAGCCTTGCTCTGGTTCTAGTCTGGTTCTAATCAGCTCTCTGCAGCCGTTGAACACCAGATGATTTTGGAGAGAGCTAGACCTTCTGAGAGCCAGCACAAAACCACACAGTGGTCCAGATCGAGTCCAAATAATCCAGAGAAATCCTGTCAGGATGAGCTCTGGAGAAGACACTGGACCTCCAAGCAACATCTCCCCACTGGAGAGGCTTCATGGCCCGCAAGCAGCTCTCAGGTTGACCGACGAGACTGGAAGTAGTCCTGGTCCAGTTCTGATCGGCTCTCTGCATCCACTGAGCATGAAATCACTATGAATAAGGATTTAACTTTTTAGTCTGGATCAGATCCACTTTCCCTCCATTTTTGGCAGAAAGCAGTGGCCGGAAGCACTGTTGCTTTCTGGGTAATGTACCGTATTTTCCGGCAGACACGTTGCTCCGCCCTATAAGTCTCATCAGTCCAAATATGTCTAAAAACGTGGAAAAATACATAAATATGTCACTTCGCTGTATATGTCACATTTGTTACGCCTCACCGCTGACAACCCGGAAATGTGGGCTGGTGTTGTGCCAAAACACCAATGGGCTGCCAAATGGTGGCCATGGGAGCGTGCACGGGAAGACTTTAACAAGAATTTAACAAGATTAACACTTAAAAACAATTATTTGTTTGCTCAAAATTATAGTAAATATCAATCTGTTTGCTTAATAAGTGCACTTTGATCATCAAATCAGCTGAATTTCAACAACCGTTATGTGGAAGTAAATGCGTGCGTGTGATGAGCCACTGTGCAAATTTAACAAGATAAACACCTAAACAAATTTGTTTGCTCAAAATTATAGCAAAGCTGTTTCTCAGTGTAACGTTTACTTAATAAATGCACTTTAATGCTCAAATCAGCTGCATTTTGCCGGGGCGGTGTAGCTGGTTTGACGGTTCCAAGCAGCGAGCAGAATGAAGGTGGGAAGATTATGGCAGGCTGATTGTGTCACTAAAAGCTGGTGAAGATTCTCAGTCATCCAGGACATGGTAAATAAAAAAAAGTTCAAGAAAAAACAATAAAGTCCAGTTGTTTTTGTCTTGAACGTTTTTGTATTTGTCATTATAGCCACCTTTACCTATTACATGATACAACAGTATGCCATACATCTACTACTACTCTGCTGCCATCAAGTGGCTGAAAGTCGTACTGCTAAAAAAAATTCAGTCAGAATGAATGAAAACGGTCATATCTTAGCCAAAAATTGGTTTATAAATATGGGAAAAAATCCACAAATATGTCGCTTCGGCCTATAAGTCGCAGGACATGTAAATTATGCAAAAAACTGTGACTTATAGGCTGAAAAATACAGTAGTTGTTTTTGACTGGCGTTACAGTCTAGACTTATTGAAAGAAAACTACAAAATGGCGGTGCCTGTCCGAAGTTTTTTTCTTTGTGTTAACTTTTTATTCCGTACTGTCCCAGTCACGTAATATTAAATTTGACAATCGTTGAAAAAGAGTGCGTCTGCGAAAGTTAAACCGCGAAGTAGCGAGGGACTACTGTATATTATTTTAAAAAACACGATGCGCATTGTCTTAGCTGAAATGTTCCTTTACAAGTTAAACAGACTCTTGTGAAAGCATGTCCTTTGGTAGTGAATACATTTAGTTTAACACTTCATGCACTAATGTAGTTGCTTTTTGACCAAAGTAGCGCAGATGATGATGCAAACGGGTCTGCCTCCAAGCTATATTCCATTAAAGTCAGACTGTTGTCTTATCCAAGATCGGGTCCTTCTTTTTGCACCAGTACTTCAGATAATGCCCCTTTCTGTGGCTGCAGGGTTTATAGACATGTTTTTTATGTCTGCACTTTTTCACCTAGAGAGTGTTTTCTGCTTGAAAGTTTCTTTGTAAACATTGTGCATGCTGCTCAGTCTCTCTAGGTTTCCAATGCCAGCGAGACCCCCGTCAGTGCATAGCACGGCCTCCAGCACTGACTCTGAGGAATATGCTGAGAATTATGTAGACATGGACCCTAATATACCCACAGATGAACCAGTATGTAACACACAACTGCTCTATGATCAAAGAAGTCACACAATTGTTTTTTTGATTTATTTATTTTTTTTACTACAAAGAAAACAGCGAAAATCTGATTTTTGTCCAAACTTGTTGAACGTCTAATTTGTTTTCAGAATCCTTTTTGAAGTTATTTAAATTAATTCTACAGACAGATGCACCATAAAACATCAAAGTTAGGTTAATGCTTTTGAGGGTAAATGGTTAAGTTGTGATTGATTTCGGAAACTTTTCAAGAATTTTCAGACTCCAGTCAGTTCTTCTCACTTTACATGACCTGGACATACAACTGGCTGCAGATGGACTCCTCACCACTTCAGCTCCTTCCTTGCAGTTTCCTTTCATCTTGCTGTTCTTTTTTTAATCTGTTTGTTAGATTTCAGGTATTGTGGTTTTATTTTGTCATTAAGTTCAATGAAATATGGTTTCATCCTTTTTTATCTTTCCAAACAAACAAAAAAAAAGATTAAATTGGCACTCTCCAGCTTCTTAACATATTATTTTAAGTTGACCTTACTTTCCCTGCCTGTTTGCATACGGGATTTACAATTTTCTGATTTTTCTCACTGTTAACAAATTTTTTTCAGTTGCTTTGATACAATATATTGCCTTATTGCTCTTTTAATAACTCATGCCATTTTCTTTCTTCCTAGTTTCTCATCCCTCCCTGGCTTCCTCTGGCTCTGGCTACGTTTTATTATTTCCTGCTTTTTAGTCCTAAACATCTGCTCTTTTCTCTCTTTTTTTTTTTTTGCATCTACCTCCATCTTACTTTGTGTAGAGATGAGTCCTTCTACTGCACAGTCCCCATCACCCCTGTAAAGAGGGAGGTGGAGAAACTTGACCCCATAGAGGAGGTGAGCAGGGTTGCCAGGTTAGACACAAATGGCTCGCCCTGTCAGAATGCCAGAGATTGTTTTGTTTTTTTCAGTTTGTATAATTGTTAAGTTTGACATAGACCTTAATGTGGTATTATCAGTTCTCAATACCAACTGCACGATGTGTGGGAGACGAACATTGCAGACTTTAAAAAGTTAATCACACTTTCAGTCAGCACTTTCTATTTTTGTACCATCTTAGTTCTAATCATGTCACCTTACTTGTAGTACCTGATTAACTCTACCCATAGAAGCTGTCCAGCATGTCAAATAATCACGTGATTTATGTTTGTCTGCATCGTTGAACAGTGAGTTTTCTTTGTTGTTAGTTCATCACCTTGGGGGAGTCCTGTTAAAAGTACAAAAATTTGCATTTAAATCAACAACATGGTTGTCTAGTTCTCAATAATAGACTAAATGAATCATTAGACCAAAACAAACCTGCCCTTCCATAATATCAATAAGAACAATCCACAATGTAGATCTAAGTAGTGACTGTAGTCCCTTTTTAGAGAATCTATTACTTATTTGATTTTAACAAGAACTTGACTCAAACCACTGTGCCCAGCTTAAATCAGTTTACTGTTCTTCACACTCATTGAGCATGCAAGAGGAAAATCTTCACTTGAAAACCTACTTTGAAAATTTACATTTAAAGTTAAGGAAGTCACCTCGTTTTCCCCTCATACCTTTACTGTAGCTACGAGCAGGACTTATTTTGTAAACCAAATGATGCCGGGGGGGGGGGGGGGGGGGGGTGGGGGGGTATTTGGATGGAGTCTGGGGGTCCTCCCCCAGAAATTTTTAAATAACAGAAATGCCATTTTCTGGTGTATTTTAACAGGTTGTTAAACATCTATGTTTACCAATACTTGCAAACACTTGATTCAATAACTATTATACAGAGAGCAACAAGAAATAGCCTGGCCAACAGCTCTCCTTGTGTGAATAGAGCACGCTTCGCTTCTCTCAAGCATCCTTAACACCCCCCCGATGGTTCCAAGCCCGACTCTTCTCCGCTGAATTCACTGTCCTCCTCGGTGTTGTCCTCCTCCACATGTGAACCCCCCAGACTCCTCCTCACATGTGCCTGTGGGCTCCTGCCCCGGTACGACAACCTGGTTAGCTCGGCTCTCACCCACTCCACTCCACCTTCTCCAGTACCTTTTCCATTGCCACTGCCTTCATGTGCTTCAATTCTCAGTTGTTCAGTTGTAGGCTACAATGAGAAGATTTTTTTTTAATGAAAATAAATTGGACTGCCTTTTCGACATTTTGATTGCCGTTATTTTGACAAATTGGCACCGTTGTTTTGATACATGACGCACATCACATGGTTACCCATCAAACTTTTCTCTTGTATTTTTCCATCCAGCCAGCCATCCATTATCTTTTACCTGCTTCTTCCATTTTGGGTCACGGGGGTCGCCAGTGCCCATGGCCAGCAATCACTGTGCGAGGGGCGGGGGACACCCTGGACAGGTCGCAAGTCCATCACAGAGACACATAGAGACAAACGAGACAAACAAACATTCACTCTTTCACTCACACCTAGGGACAATTTAGAGTTACCAATCAGCCTAACATGCATGTTTTTGGTCTGTGGGAGGAAACCGGAGTACGTGGAGAAAACTCATGTATGCACGGAGAGTACGTGGAGAAAACTCATGTATGCACGGAGAGAACATGCAAACTCCACCCAGAAAGGCCCCTGGACTGGGATTTGAACCGGGGGACTTGCTTACCGAGAGGCAGCTGCTCTACCAGTTGCGCCACCGTGCTGCCTCTTGTATTTTTTTATAAACAAAATTTTATTAATGACCCACTTAAACAGTAAAACTGATTTGCAGTTTAGTTGTGGTGTTTAATCATATTTACATGATTTTAATTAAATTGCCCATGACTACTTTAAGGGGCGGAGATATTTTTTAAGGGTAGAAGCGTAAATGTTTTCTTGAAATGATAGCTCTTATGTGATATTAGGAAGCTCGTAAATGGCTGTTTAAAATTTGTGTTTATGTAATATTTTCAGTTTACATATCCAATATAGGTTTTATTTGTTCAGGGAAGACAAATTTATTCATAACTTTATTATTAGTAAGCCTGAGTTACCGGATCCAAACAAACACCCTGTCAAAATAAGCGTTCCCAGATCCTGTTTTGGTATGATCTGCCTCAAATTGAGCCCTAGCTACAAGTGTTGAGTAAAAATAATCACTACATGTTTTAGCTACACATTACAATATTTATTCATATATTTACTATTATGCTTGCCTTTGTCTCTTTGTTTAGGCCTATTTGTCTACATGCACTCTTAAATGATCTTACCTATGATGTGAAAAAGATGTATCACCTTCCAAACAGTTGCAGGTTGGCATCAGTAGGTCATACGCTTCAGGGTCTCAAAACTTTTTAGTTATTTCACTATAAAATATGAAATTTTATAAAATAAGTAGCTGCAGAGGTCCATGTAAGCTAAATCTGTCAGACACTCCAGATGTGTAGACCCCAGTGTGTTCAGTAGAATCCATTTGAATAACTTTTCCTACTGGTCCTTCCCCACTAAATAACATTTTTTGATGTACAGATCCATCATTTTGTGAATGCTGATCATATGTAGAAAGTTTTCCCATGCTTTTTTTTTTTTTTTTTAAGGAATAATGTGCAAATCCAGGTCACAAACCACAAAATATGATTTTAGTGCTAACATTTGTACTTTTAATAGATATTGCTTAAAGTGATAAACTAACAACAAAGAAATCTTGCCATCTAACAAGACAAATAAACCAAATTGTGGGGTTCTTTGACATGCACTACAAGTCAAACTTGTATCAGAGTGTTGTCACAATAACACAATTCCCCTTTTCGTTCTTCTCTTCTATCAGCATGAATTATTGTAGATGTGAGGTTGCAATATTTAAATTTCAAGACAACAAAAGAAATGAAATGCCAACATTTTAAAGGCCGTAAAACAAATGGGAGCTCTTCCACTGGGATGCAACATAAATGAATATTTTGGTTTAGTACTCACATTGTGTTTCACTGATTTACAACAACCATCACTTTAGCAGCATCCCTGGACCACTTCATTTACTGTGTACCTGTACTTTTCTTACCTTTTTTCTATACATTTGTATGTATAGAAAGCTGTAACTACAAAACATCATCAGCAGTAAGTAAAGCAAATATGCCATGAACACAAAGTTCATGCTCAATAATCCATCCAGCAAAGTTAAGGGGAGTCCGAGGGGCCTCAACAAACTCGGTCTTATAAATAGCACCTTCACATAGGGTATGTTTACATGGACATAAGAACCGGATCAAATGGCTGCTTGGAATAAAAGTGTGTCATGTAAACACTCCGTTCGGGTTATTTTTTGTGTATTCGGCGCGATCCGATATAATTTGTGATCAGAATGAAACGGGTGGTTTACACCGATCCGTAACCCGATCGGTGCGCATGTAAACGCTTGATCTGTTCGTTTTTATCTGATCGTGAAAAACTGACCTGACTGCGCATGTGTGACTTTGCCATTTCCGCCTGGCTAATGCTAATAATATTAGCATGTCAGGGAAGCAAAACTGGTCGGTGAGCGACACAACATTTCTACTAGAAACTTTGAAAGAGTTCAGAATGATTTCTATTACCTGTAGCTCAGTCAGGGAGTGCAGTAATGTCTCCACCATCATTAAAACCTGTCGTGGGTCCATTTGGGGTGCTCAGGTTTGTTTACGTTCACCCCGGAAGTAGAACTTCTTCTTCGGTGGTTTTTTTTAAGGAGAGTTTACCACTCTGCGCATGTCAGTACTGCTGTTCAGAACAAAGCCCGCTGCATGCAAACGCTCGTCATGAACAGATTGTGCCCATGTAAACAATACATTTGAATTATTCAAACAGAACACATTTCAATCCGGTCAAAGAATTCTGCGCATGTAAACATAGCTATAGTGGGTCAACCAGTTTGGTGGTGATAAGATGGTTTCTGGAGTCCGCCCTCTCCCCCACCGATTCGTTTGAGGCAGTCATGTACAAAGTGGTTCATAACATCAAAGTTCATGCTCAATAATCCAGAAACCATCTGAGCACCATCAAACTGGTTGGTCCACTATGTGAAGGTGCTATTTTTAAGACTGAGTTTGTTGAGGCTCCTCGGACTAATGAAGTCTTTTGGATAAAAGACAAAACGTTTCAACAAAAAGAAACTGTCCAGAGGACCCAAAAAAGTTCAATCTGGTCCTCTGGACATTCAAAAAAACCAAAAAACAAAACAAAGCAAAAAAATCTAGAAACGTTTCGTCTCTCATCCAAGAGACTTCCTCAGTCTGAGGTGCTGTTTTCAGCTCAGTCTCTTAAATAGCACCTTCTCAGAGTGGATCAACCAGTTTGCTGCTGACAACCAAAACCAGCTGATCACATGCTCAAGAAGGACCATCAGCCTAACAATGGATCATTAGCACACTGATGGCTGTTTACTATTCACAGGGTTGAGTGATACTAGCAATCACAGCATTGTAAGAGGGGGACAGTTGAACCCGGAGGCCTCCACCCCTGTTTAATGATGGACGATTTCTTTTCACAAAGATGGCCTCCTTTACTCCTCTCTCAAACCATCGTTCCTCTCTGTCCAGGATGTGAACATCTTCATCCTTGAAAGAGTGACCGCTGGCCTGGAGATGAGTGTAGACCGCAGAGTCCTGGCCTGATGATGTTGATCTTCTGTGCTGGGCCATCCTTTTGGCCAGTGGCTGTTTAGTTTCCCCGATGTAAGACTGATCACAGCCCTCCTGACACCGAACAGCATACACAATATTACTCTGTTTGTGCCGGGGGACTGGATCTTTGGGATGAACCAGTCTTTGCCGTAATGTATTTTGGGGTTTAAAAGCCACTGGGACGTTATGTTTAGAAGATAAACGTCTCAGTTTCTCTGATACTCCCTCAACATACGGAATGACCACTGGTCTGGGTCTGGGTTCCTCCTTTTCACCTGATGGCTGACTGGAGTCCTGTTTGGGTTTCTTCTCTGCTTTCAGGAAGGCCCAGTTAGGATATCCACATTGCTCTAGAGCCTGTTTTGTGTAGGATTTCTCCTTCTGCCTGGCTCCCGAGTTAGTGGGGATGATCAGCTGGTTTTGGTTGTCAGCAGCAAACTGGTTGATCCACTCTGAGAAGGTGCTATTTAAGAGACTGAGCTGAAAACAGCACCTCAGACTGAGGAAGTCTCTTGGATGAGAGACGAAACGTTTCTATATTTTTTTTGCTTTGTTTTGCTTTTTTTTTTTTTTTGAATGTCCAGAGGACCAGATTGAACTTTTTTGGATTTTTCTACCTGGATTATTGAGCATGCATCAGGATGTCCAGAGGACCTGACTTAACTTTGCTGGATGCCATGAACAGTTTCAAAGTATCTTTTATCTTGATAAATAATTTTATGTTGCATCGTCACTTGAGCAAACCTTTATTTACCTCTGACCTGGTAAATAACAAAGTTATTGTATGTAAAAAAAAAAAAAAATTAACAGTCAACCCTATAATATACTGGATAAAGGAGTTTGCCAGTTCCTCCAGTTTTGACATGAGGTTTACACTTTAAATGTTAAAATCAACAAATTATCTTCCTACATTTAAACTTGAGTTTGAAAGAATTCTGGTTATTGTGACAACAAATTTGTTCAGTAGAGTATAAGTTTGTTTTTCATTGTTTTATGAATGGGGGAATAAACCATGTGCTGGCTCTCACAGATAATGAAACCTGCAGCACCTATGCCTACCGATGGTGGGAGTAGCCCTATGGTAAAACCAAAGGGGGACAAACAGGTGGAGTACTTGGATTTGGACCTTGAATCCGGCAAATCTACTCCACCTCGGAAGGTAGGCCTTTTATCTCCAGTGCTGTGCCTCGATTTGAGGAGTTTAAACCACAATAAATGTTTGAATGGTTGACTTTCTTGTTTCTAGATGAAAAACGCCAGAACTGACAATAACGCAGCATCAGAAGAGCGTGTGGACTACGTAGTTGTGGACCAGCAACGAACGCAGGCTCTCAAGAGCACCAGGGAGGCTTGGAGTGAAGATCGCCAATTAACAGAGATGGACACCCCCTCCAAAGTATCCAAATGAACTTGGGTTCTTGACTACCAACCCACGTTTCAACCCCCCGACCTGCTTGGCCTTTGTCAGTAGTGTAAGCACTGGATTGTGCTTTGAGGCTGTCCTGTTGTACCTCAAATACAGGAGCCAGGGGTCCAGAGCCACCTGTCTGACTTTAGCTTACACTGCTGTGGGGTCTGTGAGAGCAGGGGAGTGGGCCAGGAATAAGCTTTACACATTATGAAGGCAGTTTGAAATTATTAGACCTGTCTTCATGGAGCAGTTTGACTTAAGCAGACTTACGAACTTTGAACATTTACTGCCTCTGACACGAATAAAGGGCTGATCCGGCATTAACCTTTCTTTAAATTGTGAAGTCGCTTGGTGTTGTGTTGAGGTGTAAATGAAATCGATAACATAGTCAAAATGATTTGTCAATGTCGCACTACTAGGTAGCACAACAGGTTAACGAGAGTTTATTTTGATTTTATTTTTATTTTTTTTCAGTTTCTGCTGTTTTTATCTGGGCAAGGGTTTCAGAGGAGCGCTGATCAGTTTCACAATTTCTTTCCTTAAAAGGTTAGTTCAGATCTTATGAATTAGGATTGTGAAAAGATTTTGAACAATTATTGTCTTACCTGCTGTAGATTGCACTTTGATCAACCTTGCTTTCGAGAGAGTTTAATTTTGACTGGACTGATGAGCTAAAAGCTAGTTCAAGAACCAAAGCCCACCTCTTAAAACAACTCCAATCTCACAAACTTCATATTGGTTCATGCAAATGCCATTTTATAAGCTTTTTTTTTTAGTAAAATCAGTTTTATAATACAGCAGCAGAAATGATAATCCTGCTGGAAGTGTCTGAGGCTGCTTCACTGTTTGCCTTTGCTCATAAAAAAACATAAATAACTGTGTAGTAGGAAGTTGACAACAATGTAAAGGTTAATTCTGATACACTTCATTAAGATTATCATAATAGTTTTTGCTGGAATAATTGGGTAATGGGGGATTGATGACAAAGTTTTGTAAAATAGCATTCACATTCTATTGTTTTAGATTGAAATTGTTTTCAAATGAGCGCAATCTGCTTTGGTCTTGGTCCTGTGCAGACTAACCATGAGCTTAATCTGGTCAGAACTAGGGATGCACCGATCCACTTTTTCCACTTCCGATACCAATATCTGGTGTTTGCCGTCGGGGGGGGGTTACGCAGACATAAATGTGCTGAATTATAAATTTATTGAAAACTCTACACCAGTACAGCACACTTAAACTTAGCTTCACAAGCTTGGTCAAACATGTAAAGACAACACAACTTTAATTTGTTCAGTCAGTGCAATTATGAGTATAACATCCAATGTAAAATAAATAATTATAAAGTACTGAATCTGACAAAAACAATAGATTGACAACTTAGGTTAAACAAAAAAATTAAATTGAACAAACCTTTCAAATGTTCAGGAATTCTAAATATAATGTAAAATAAATAACAAAGGGGCTGAAATAAGAGGGAAAAAACAATAGCTTCACTAGCTTGGTTGGCAGATATTTAAAATAAACAGCAATCAGTTCCTGTCCTTATGGATTGGTCACATTGTCACCGATACCGATCAATAATTTTTCGGCACCGATACTACTATCGCATCTGCATTTGTACCGATATCCTTTCAATGATTTTTCCAATATTGACACAGATGCTAATATCGGATCGGTGCATCTCTACCAATACGGTCAATAATTTCCCCAAATATCGGCCTCAATATTGATGTTACTATGGGGTCAGCGCATCTCTACCGATACCAAATAAATATTTTTCCGATAGTAATATCAACCCGAGCCTGCTCTACCGATATCCTATTAGTAATTTTTCCAATATTGATACTGATGCTAATATTGGATTGGTGCATCTCTACCGATTCAGTCAATAATTTCCCCAAATATCGGTATTGGTATCGATACTACTATGGGGTCAGTGCATCTGTACCGATACCCACTAAATATATTTCCGGTGTTAATATCGGATCGGTGCATCCCTACCGATATCGTATTGATATATTTTTTATTTTTTTTATATTGATACAGATGCTAATATCGGATCTGTGCATCTCTACTGATTTCCTATCAGTAATTTTCCAATATTGATACAGATGCTAATATCGGATCGGTGCATCTCTACCGATACGGTCAGTAATGTCCCCAAATATTGGTATCGATATCAATGGTACTGTGGGGTCAGTGCATCTCTACCGAGACCCGATAAATATTTTTCCGATGCTAATATCGGATCGGTGCACCTCTAGCTCAGAACCCCATTTCTCCGACCTGAGGCCACTTAAGGACCACAGCTAACACATCAGTTGATCATGAGCCTCAGAACTCCACCTTAAAACATTTGAATTGCTTTAAGTTGCGGTGCGAAGCTCAAGTCCCTCTCCTCAAACTGGGAGTGTAGTACGAAAGGATTTTGCAAACATGCAGTACGTTTTCTTTCAATCAAAATGCAGTCGGACATGTTCATTTTTTAAATTACCAAGTGCTTAACTTGAGCTTTAAGTTCATTGATTTTTTTTTCTTCCCCCCATTAGTGAATATGATCAAATTTCCATTTATTTTTCAAGTGGGAAACTTTAAATCTATTATGAAAATGAACAAAAAACTGTACAAGTGTTGTGTATAGAAACTGAAAAAGTGTCCTTTATTTGTATGAACCATCCACCATGTGTGACTTAAAGGTATCCGAATTCTGCAGGGTAGAATTCTGGACATGTCTTATGATGGTATCAGGACTTGTGATTAATGCAATGATTACTGTGAGTTTTAAAGAGAATGACAGGTTTTTATATGCAGAAGGCGTCGCAGTTGGGTTACAGAGAGAAAATCAGGTACTTTCTTCGATGCATACTGATACAACTTTCCATTTTTAATTTATTTCATCAGGTCAACGTCGCGTCCAGTTTCAGTTGGGTAATCTTGATTCAAACGAGGGTACATTTGTTTCTGTTTGCTTTGACCTGTGCTAGAAATTTAGTTGCCTGTCTCTTGCTTTTAAGTTTAATTTATTTGAAACCGAACTGGCATACACTTTTGATAAACTGACTGCCCCATGCAGTTGGCTCTAACTGTTTTTAGAAAGTCTTTGTCCATAGATTCACCAACCTGTTCCTGTCTTGTTCTGAAATATCAACCATGTCCTGATGTGATCGAATTATTGCTGTAAATAGTTTGCTATCAATTTTATTAATGCATATCTTTTAAAAATCTGCCTGTTTTTTTAAACTACCTTTTTTTCCAGTTGCAGTTTCTTTGTGATACAAGCTGCAGAACTGATAACGCTTTAACTTTTATAATGAATGTCAAGTGAAAAGTAAAATTTGGAAAGAGGACTAATAAAATGCCACCTGTCGTACATGGTTTTTCTTTTTTCTACAGAACCTCGGTTATCGATTAGTGTTCGAGATATAACTTTCTATCTGATCAAGATACTCAAAGCTCTTTACAACACAATCACTGCCCTCATTTACCCATTCATACAGCACTCTACTATATACAAAGACTAATCAGTGCTTTATCATTCATACACTGATGGGACACAGAGGCAATGAGGGGGTTCATTGTTTTGCCCAGGGACACTTCGGCATGTGACTGCTGGTGGAGTCAAACCTCCAGCTTTCCCATTGGAGGACGACTGCTCTAACCACTCAGCCACAGCTGCCCCATGTTGGTATAAAATAATGTACAATACAAGAAAGACCACCTACAACACTCGTAAGTGATGTTCGTGTTCGCTAATGTTCTTTTTACACTGCCTGGCCAAAAAAAAATTGCCACCAAAAGAAAAAGGTCACACACTAATATTTCGTTGGACTACCTTTAGCTTTGATTACAGCATGGGTTCATTGTTTTGATAAGCTTCTGCAATGTCACAAGTTCTATTTCCATCTAGTGTTGTGTTAATTTTTCACCAAGATCTTGCATTGATGACTAGAAACTAGGCATGATGGGTGCATTACTTCACCTGCCTCTCTTCTTACCCTGATGTGCCCATCACTCTGGAACAGAGTAAATCTGGACTCATCAGACCACATGACCTTCTTCCATTGCTCCAGAGTCCAATCTTTATGCTCCCTAGCAAATTGAAGCCTTTTTTTCCCAGTTAGCCTCACTGATTAGTGGTTTTCTTGAGGCTGCACAGCTGATCAGTCCCAATCCCTTGAGTTCCCTTCACATTGTGCGTGTGGAAATGCTCTTACTTTCTGTTGTTTATCTTCAATTTGATTTCACCAAACCTTTAAGTGATCACTGATCACGATCATTCAGGATTTTTTTCCGGCCACATTTCTTCCTCTAAGACGATGGGTCCCCACTATCCTTCCAGTTTTTAATAATGTGTTGGACAGTTCTTAACCTAGTTTCTACAATCTCCTTAGATGTTTTCTGTGCTTGATGCCAATAATTTGACCCTTCTCAAACAGACCGACATCTTTTCCACAACCATACGATGTTTCTTTCAACATGGTTGTTTAAGAAATGAGAAGCAACTCATTGCACCAGTTGGGGTTAAATAACTTGTTGCCAGCTGAAAGATATGCAGTAATTATCCAATTGGAGGCTCGTACCTGTTTGCTTAGTTAAATCCAGGTGATTGCTTTTTTTTTGTATATGTGTATAACTTTTAAGGTATAGCATGTTCTATATAAGACTCAGTTTATATTTTTGTTCTGGTTTGACACATTCATTGCCTTTCAAAATATTTAACAAGGAAACAAGGCTCTTAAGAAATTAAACAGTCTTTTTCAAAAGTTAAGTATTTATACCTTTTCGTACAGCTCTGTCTCATCTAACTAGTAAATATAAACAATCCAAAGATTGTTCATTACCTTTTTCTGAACTGCACTAAAATTCTATTTTGTGAGGTTATATATTTTTTTTATTTGACTGAAAGCTGTACAGTCAGAAAATAGTTTCTGAAATCTATCATGCAAGTTTTATTGAGTTACCAGTACACTGTAGGGGGTGCTCCATGAATGTGGGACTGGTGGTCCACTGCTACGGGCAAATCAGTATAAAGCAGTGTGTAAATTTTGTTCACATTGTCAGTAATAAGTCAAACCACTTCAAGGGTGGGAGTTGGACTTGGCCAGTGCTATCCAATGTCATCAATTTTATTCATAACTTTTCAGCTATGAATTCAGTTTCACCGAGTCCAGTTTAATGGCCTCAGGATTGCGTCTCTAGTGATCTTCAGCTCTCAATGGAGCAGTTCGCAGCCGAATGTGAAGTGGCTGGGATGAGGATCAGCACCTCCAAATCTCAGGTGATGTTTGTCAGTCGGACAAGGGTGGATTTTCCTTTTGGTTGAGGGTGAGGTTCTGCCTCAAGTGGAGGAGTTCCAAGCATCTCTCTTTTGTTCATGGGTGAGGGAAGACTGGAGCAGGAGATCCATCAGCAGATGTGTTGGTGCAGCTTCCACAGTATTGCAGACTCTGCCGGTCCATTGTGGTAAAGGAGGAGTTGATCTGCAAGGTGAGG